GTGGACCCAAGACGCCTGCCAGCTTCCCTTTCGAGCGCATTGCCATCCAGGGAGCTCGAGCCCAAAAGTTCTCGGGCAGTAGGGTATTGCAGTTTTGTTGATTACAGGGTCTTATGGGGTGGCTATGGTACAAAGGAACCTGACTCAGAGACCCCCGGCACTGATTAGGGCTCTTACCGCGTCGGGGTCGTAAAACCCTGCGGGCTCCTGATCAGGTTCTTGCATCAGGCCTCAAGGCAGGAGAGGTGGAAATCTACAGGTGAGCTATACTAACATATTGCATCATCAACACACACACACTGACTTTCCCTCTTTCTTTCTTTCTTTCTTTCTTTCTTTCTTTCTTTCTTTCTTTCTTTCTTTCTTTCTTTCTTTCTTTCTTTCTCTCTCTCTCTCTCTCTCTCTCTCTCTCTAGATATCTGTTTGGAGTGGTCATCGGGGTTGCTTCTGTTCAGGTGTGCAGTGTACACAGAAGGACTCGCTCAGGCCATTAGGACTAGGCATACGATATCAACAGGTTCCGGTGCTCCACATCAGAGCGAGGTTATTCGAATAAGGGTCTTTGGAACCTATTTCGTTTGAGCGACTTCCAGAAAAAACTGCCTCCCTAAACCTCAAACCCTGTGCTCTCGGAAGGCTGCTGTTCGGACTGACACGAGCACAGAACCATTTAGCAGGGTCGTAATTCGCACAGAGCGGTGTTTCTTGTTTGTCTGTCCACTGTTTCCGCGTCGTCTGACTAACCGACAGATGCCCCGCTGTTGTTTGAACGACTATCCTGGCAACTGCCTCCTAGGCTTCTCACTCTCAGAAGATCCAGTGCATCGTTGAACGCCTTGACGGCTGTCGGCGACTCAGGGCTTGTCGTGAATCCATCTTGTTTTGTTCAGAACGCCAAGGTCACCGAATTGAGGCTGTCATGAATACACTTAGTTGTGAGACGCTGATGTCTATTCGGCTTTATGTGCCCCCCCCATTGAACGATAGACCCGCTCAAAGAGGAGCGCCACAAACTGCAACAGCAAGTCTAGGCCTAGGCAAGCTTGATGCGTCAAGAGCTGCAGTCCTTGCCGCTTACATCCAGGTTCCGGGCCTGCAAAATGCAGTTCCGGCCTGAGCTGTCAGCCCCAAGGTGGTGCTTTGCAGTTTGCTAGGGTTTAGTGTTTAGGGGGTTTAGGGGTATTACGATCACTACGAGTGAGACCGTCAATGAGCGCAGCTAGTTTGTCATTCATCGCTTCTCCAACACCATGGGAAGTACCAGCTGAAGCACCCCTACAGGCTACCGGACCTCTCGCATGTCTTCCGTGCCGGGTTTCGACTACGAAGAGACGGAGGCCAACTCACCCTGAGCCATCGGAGCCTGACTGTAAGTAGGACATAATGAATGAGATTGTCCAAGGCTTTCACCACAACTTGGTCACACCTGTACTTCCAGTTTGCAGAAGGTCAGGGGCCGTTATTTAGAGCCTTTGCCCACCGGATGGCTGGAGGTAGCATCGTAGTGCCCTTCAGATAGAACGGCAGTAAGGAATCCTTAGCAGCTCTGAGACAGCTTGGTGCACTGGAGCAACTGCTTGCCCTCCAGTCCTGGCCTCGCAGAGAATTGGGCATGGAAATGCCCAGCCACAGCTCATATCTGATACTAGCCGCTTCCCCAGGTTGTGCCGTCCGCCACTCTGCATATCCGGTTCTCGTGCGACTCTAGCCATACATGAAACATGCTTGGTTGCATGTTTTTGTGCATGCATGCCGTGCATGTGTGTTTGGCATGTTCGAGTGATGGCCTGAGTGGCTTCGCATCTACATTTCGGTTTGTGACCGTCCCCAGCCCTCCCCCCCATCACCTCACCCAGGCACACCCCATAACCCCTCCGCGGAGTACCTGCAGTGTGACTCCATGCGAATGAACGAATGTACACTACATGTGCATGTGTTTCAGTCGAGTGGCGAATCAGGGACTCACAATGCACCCAGACGTGTACTGTAGCTAGTGAAACTTGCTTGCTACTTCTAGAATCATTAGAAACTCACAACTACACACTGGGTATGACAAAATTATAAATTCTTTGTGCCTTTGTTCCTCGCCCAGTTTGGGCATCAGAACGATGAGGAATGTAGGCTTCAACCGATCTTCAAATAAGTCTTCGAAAGTCAGACAGAGAATCTTCAACACATTTTCCCGGAAACACTTCCGGGTTCGAACGATCTTGTGGGAGATCTTCGGCAAGGCCCGATCCAAGAAATAAATTTGAACAAACCTTGGATGATCCGGGCCGGGGAATCATCGCCCATCCACATCGACCGCCTGACAGGGGCGTCCTCAGCCTTGCTGGACTTAAGACAAAGACTGGACGTCCATGGAGTGATGTTTAGATTGTGTCTTGAAGCCAAGATTCCTCCTGGAAAGGTGGTTCTGGCAATAATTCCGGCATAGATTGCCGAGGACGTTTGAAGCCCAAATTCCTGATCGATGGCTTGGGTGATGACTCTTCGAAGATTTGACTGAAGAGTAATTGAAGCCCAAACTCTTGATCTATGCTTCTGCCGAAGATGCATTCGACGATTTTTCGAAGAACTGGCTATATCATGTTATATCCATGATCTTCAGTCTGTGGCTGGGAAGGTTTTACATAAGCTTGAACACGTGTTGGTGCGTGTTTGTAGGCCTTGGCCGGATGTAAGAAAGGAGCATTCTGGTTGAAGCAGAGTGTCGTACGAAAGTGCTTTCCTTTTCTGGGAGGCACACAACTTTGTCCATTTGACTGTATGTGTGGAGCTGTATTTCGGTGCATTTATGTACATACACACAGGTGCATCTCATACATTCACATATTGTATGTAAGGAGAGCAACGCTGAGATGCTGCCAGAAGAAGAAGAAAGCCCTCATATGCAGGGTTCCTTGGAGTTCCCACCTGGCGTTACCGAGCGCTTCGTGGAGATCGAGTCATTGGGCTCAGCTTGCCGATGTTGCGTTTGAGGTTCTGTGCTCTAGGTCTGGCGAGCTTGGTTGAAGACATGTTCAGACAGGTGCCATCATGTGCTTAATCTAGTCACTAGTCGAAGTTTCCCCTGCTGTAGGTATTGAAGGGCTCAGTGCTGCAAGCTGTCACATAAGTGGCTCTGGTGTCCGCACAGAACTCGTTTCCGGTTCTTTTTCAAGAAAACTAAGTACTTCAAGTGTGGATTTGTCCTAGCCAGGCGGGAGGCAAGGCAAGTGTGGATTTTAGTAGCACGTGAGAGCCGACATTTGCAACCGTGTAGACAAAGCTGAGATGACAATGGCATCGGATCCCTCGGTTTTGGTGATGTTAATGATGCTGCTGATGCGGTGATTTGTGTACTGCTGATTTTGATGTTGCCAGTGGACTGGGTTCATGATGCATGCAAGGACTGTGATGCTTGTACAGGGGCTTTGATGATGGTGATGTTGGTGAGGGGGCGTCACAAAGATACATGGTCACGAGGGCAAAAGTTGGTGAGCTCACGGCAAAGCGGTCAGCTCGGCCTTTTCCGAGGATCCTTCCCAAGCGGATGGAGGCCTTGGGTCTTTGCTTCGTGGCTTTGGAGGATGTTCGCGGAGGTAAGCCAGCAGTATAGTAGCAACAGTATCCCCTCGGCTGGACAAGGCAAGAGCTTCACAGCTGGAGCCTGCAACTATCTTCGGAGTTGACTGCCTCTGGCACATTGGATAGTTTGTGGCGTGGAGAGTCGGGATGTTAATCTTTTTGATTTTTGACTACAATCAGGAAACAGCGACAGTAGTAGCTCAATGGCTACATTGGTTTGACAGACATCATGCCAAACTTTCTTCGGTAATCACGAGGAATAGGAAGCAGTGCAAGAAACTCAGTAGCAAATCCCGCGCACATTCGCAGCATCAGCCCTGACAATGACCATGCTGCTCCTATGTCCTATGGTCCGGCAATCATGACAGGAGATTGCGGACAAGTTCCTTCTGATCTTGGAAGAGCCTGAAGGCTTCCTGGTGCTTTTTTTTTGAAACTATAAAGACGAGTTTCAGGGTTTCAGGGAAGGGACTTTGCGCCCTTCAGGATTTTTGAACCAATGGCATGGTGTGTAAAGAAGGCCCATGGCCCACATCAACCTCCGAGGCCCTCAGCCTTACTGCTGCTACTGCTCCAGATCGCTCTGCTACGATTATGTCCTCATGCAGGAGCTCAGGCTCTCTGATTGGACATATCTCCACACCGGTTACAGACTTTTCGAAACTCCGCTAAAGAAACGGATGCAAAACAAAATCAGGTCCCCAGCCCCAAGCACGAAGCCCTTGGAAAGGTGCGCAGTTTGAGAATGATGGCCAGCTTCGCGACTCGTTGGTTCAGACGATCATGATTGGCGTGGCGCCCTCAGACTTTTGTTGGAAAGCTGCACGGGAAGCTGGTCCAGATACCTGCGGCTCGCTGCCAATAAAAGAGCTCCCCTTCTGCTCCTTCTGGAGAATTTGGTATCCGGGTCTTGTTCTGCTTCTCGTATGCATCACAGGGACTCCAAGATTGCAACAGCCTCCAATGCAAGCTTACATGTCCGGACGGCAAGGCTTCATATCCCGGATGTTCAGGTCAATGAGGCAGATGAAGGAGCATCCAAATGGCTGGATGCAACCTTCAACTGCGACGAGGCGGGTTCCTTCATCGCCGAAGTCCCACTCGCATATCTCGGCGATGTTCATGACATGTCATGCTCAGGAACCTTTTGGAGCACGTTGAAAGCCCTTAGTTTCGTGCTGCTCCCTCAACACTGTAGCTTGAACGGAATCTCATTCTGCTACCCTGGTTCCGGCCCATGCGGGCGCTAGAGGGATCCGCAAAGAGTTTTCATTCATCATGGCGAGCTGCATATATACTTGCTGTAACTATGCCGTGTATGGTCCTCCATTAACCCTAAACTCACTCGAAAACAGCTTCCTCCTTGACGTTTGCCTCCTAGGACCCCAAGCCCGTTTAGAATTTGGTGGTCAGCTGGCCTCTCTGCTCAGATGCGCTTGGGCTTTTCCTCCTGGCGTGACCTTGGCTGTTTGAGTAGAACAAAACTTCCACCGATCGGGCTCAGGTATGCTTATATGTAGTGACGGCAGCACGACTAACACACATAGTAGTATGAGTAAAAATAGTAATAATTGCCAAAAGGGTCGTCCTGCTGTCACGTGCCCTTGGTGCCCTTGCGTAGCGAGGCCTTGGAGGATGGCACGGCAGATAGAGAGAATAATAAAGGGTGCTGATGGGGGGGGGGGGGCATGTTGTACCGAGGATAGATAAGATTCAAGATTCCCTTATGAAGGAACACTGCCAGGGTCCAAGTGAGAAAGACACAACACTGAAGAAGTATGGAAAGACCACTTTTGAAAGATCTCCTCATGCAGCAGTTCGGCGATTTAAGGATCGCAGAACGAACCCTGTTGCCTACTACGGAGGGCTTAGATATTCCGAGGATGCAGGCCTTGTCACAAGGTTTTAGGCTTGAGTATGGTGCTGGGCTGGATGATCTGCCAAAATTCAGTACACCACTGAGCTTCCGAACCTAGTTTGGTTAGCGATGTTTTCTGGGAGCGTGGCGATGCTGCTGATGCTGACGGCAAAGATGGATCTCTGCTAATGCACAAGTTGAGCGGAATCGAGGGTTGCTATTGTCGCCCTAACTAAAGCATGATGCAAGTGCACGGGCCTGCTTCTCCTGGGGCCTGAGCTTGAAGCCTAAGCCGTAAAGCCTGAGTTCTGCGGATGCCAGGCGAGCAATTGGTGGAGGCTGTGCTGCCCAACGGAAGCTGTGAGGCAGCCAAAGAGGCCGGAGAAGGAACCCAAATTTGTTGGCGTGCGTCCGCAGGCATGAAGTATGTGTGCCCGCACAAAGGCCTCCGTGCCGACGGACTTCCGTGTGTATTTGTGTGTGGTATGGTCCGTACACGCGTATTTGCTACCATATGTTTGGCTCATGTTCAAACGCGCATGTATGTATGGTTGTATGTATGTATATGCTTGCGTGCCTGTATGTAGATAGGTAGGTATAGGCAAGTAGGTAGGCAGGTCGGTGGGTAGGTAGGTAGGTAGGTAGGTAGGTTTAGGTAGGCAGGCAGGCAGGCAGGCAGGCAGGTAGGAGGTAGGTATAGGTAGGCTTGAATTCATAACTCCTTGCTTATTTCTTCTTACATCCGTCGGTGCCCCGACCGAGCTACCTACCTACATACATAAGGTAAGATAAGATAACTCAGCATAACATGCATACGTCCATGCATCCATCCATGCTTGCCTACATGCACGTACATGACAAACACGTATGCACACACAAACACATATACTTAATACGGACATACATGAACACGTGCACACGTGGAGACAAACATACGTAGACTACGTAGGTCCGTAGGCATAAGGCCGAGACAATAACAATGTTTGTGCATGTGTTGTTACATAATATGTGTAATGTATAATATGTATGTATGTATATATATACACACATAGACACATCTTGTACACATGTATATATGGTTGTTGTTCGTGAGGAGGGTGGGTATAGGTCGATGCTGCTCAAACATTAAAGGTTTCGGCCTTCGTTTAATTCACAGAGTGCTTATTCCTACAACTTCGCTTGATCCGAGGTTGCTGGTGGCTTCTATCTAGAAGTTCTTCGTTAGATGGACGAACATGTTCCACCTTAATTTAAGCCTGAATTAATTGGTGCTGGTTGCGCAGGGCCCCTGGTGGTTTGACGGGCTTTCTTGCATGTTGAAGACATTTTGCATGATCCCTGTCAGGGTGGGGTGGGGGAATGATGACGTCGGCTTTAACGGCGCCTTGTGTTTCAAGCATGTTTGCAATTCTCACACAACGAACTGCAGAAAGATTTTTGCGGCTTCTGGAATACCGCACACTGGCACAAGCGTTTCTGTCTCGTTCGTTAAGCCCACAACACTGGCACTTTCTGCAACATGTTTGTTTCTAGAACAAGACATGCGTGCATCGAAGTCCGTCAAACCACTAGGCGCCCAATGTACCCGCACCCCAGTAGTTACGTGAAGAGAGACCAGGCAGCTGTCCTAAGACTCACAGCCAGCAACTATGGAAGAGCGCTCCCTTACTTATGGAAGACAGCATTATAATAGTCATGGTCGAACATGAGCCATTATGCACGCGAACCCGTTCAGCAATAGCACCCTGACAGGTCTCTTGGGCCGAATTGGTGTTCCACGTCGTTTGCGTTCCGTGGAAGCTGCCGGCAGCCCTGCAGGTTTGTGCTGCAATAAGTCCGTAGATCCTGTCGGGTCAACTTGTGTTTGGTTATTTGGGTCTGCATGCAGGGGATGCAGAAACTGTGAACAACATACATTCTTGACCGTGCTGGCGTTTCTGTGACTGGTTGTTGTGTCAGTGCCTCAGCTCGCGGTGCTCTGACCCTTAAGACCGCATTCATCTTAGAAGTCATCTTAGATGCTCAAATATCTCAGATGTCAGATGGAGAAGTGATTTGTCACATGTCTAAATGTGAGCTTCTGAATACTTCCCCACTGCATGCCCAGAAGAATGCATTGATCATTTATCCATCGAGTTCCTCAGTCCTACTGTTTCTCAACTTTCAAAGCCTCGATTTCCTTCCTGTGCTGATGCTGAGGTTCTTCGTGCCAATTCCACCTACGGCCTTCCTCCGTGGTTGGGCCTGGGACCTTGGATTGAGAGCGACACCTCTACTTCAAAGTAACATCTAAAGATTTACAGGGTCCCTTGTCCTGCTCAGGGTTGCTGAAGCGACTGCATCTGATCTGGGCAAGAAGGTCGTATGCAGGTCTGTCCGCAGGAGCTGCATGACAAAACAGCCGAAATAACACCCACAGCGTGTGGTCTTGAAGCCGTACGCACTCAGGTTTGCTTCTTCTTCTCTTTGGGCTACATCGCCTGCCCTGGGCTCTGCGTATGGGCGGTCTTCAGTCATCCTCCCACCATGTCAGTCGAGACTCAGCCGAGCTGCCCACAGAGTCTCTGTAGAATCACTATGCCATCTCGTGAGTACTAAGACTAAGAATGCAAATCAGACTTCTCTGTCCCGGGAATTTTCAGTGAACTGCCTAGTTCTGACCGCCATCATCGGGGACATGGCCGAGATCTTCGGATGCGTCTGCAGCTTATACCGTTACAATGTAGTGATTGATTAGGGTTTTGGGTTTGGGGTTTAGGGGCGAAGGCGCCGTTCCGAGAGCCTTCGCCGCCGTCGGGTCGGCGGGGTCGTTTAGAACCTCGACACGACAGTCGGCCGGTTGAGTTTCTAGGGTGTGAGGCTTTTGGTTCAGATTCAGCGGTTTAGGTTGAGGTGTGGGGGTTCAGGTGTTTAGGGCAAAGAAGGAAGAGCAGGAGCAGCTTCAGATTGCAGGTCTGACTATATTTGCCAAGCAGTTTCCGGGGCCCAAAGCCCTAAGCCGGAAGATTTACAAAACTCAAGCCTAAAGCCCCAAGCCAAAATGAGAAGCCTTAGCTTCAAAGGATACAAGTGCGGCAAGCCGAGATTGCACCTCTGGTGTCCACCCCCGAAGGTCCTGGAGATCCCGGACTTGGTCACGGGAGTCAGCTTCGTGGCCTTAGGCCGCAGTGAGGGCTCTGGAAGCTCTATCTCGCGTCCTTTGCGATACGTTCCGATACGTGCCAGCAACATGCTGCCGCCACTCCTCTGCAACCTCTCGGCCGTACTTGTAACTGTCGGGCCTAGCACGAGGCATCACATTCGGGCCAGCTACTTCAGCTACTGTACAGGTTTTACGCGAATCAATGCCCGCGGCAGGCACTTCCATGCCAGATCTCTTCGCTTCGCGCCATGCCGCCGTCGAGGACATCGAACGAAGCCCTAGACTCTCTAGGACACGGTGTTTTCCGGGTCGTTGGGGGACAGAGGCTTTGGCTGGCGTAGCGAGTCCTGCTCCTCTTTCCCGAGACTTTGCATGCCGCGACTTGGATGAACGATTTCCATTGCAGCGCGAGCCAGCAAACAGCAATTCTTGTGGGGCATAGCTGAAAACTTGGATCATAAACTAGCTTGAGGGGCTCGTAGGCACGTCTCCATCCCCTTGGAGCAGGATCCAACAGCTGATGCTGCCATCATCAACGTGACAGGCGTGACCGTTTAGCATGCGTGCCCCAACCTTGTGAAAATGCAAGCCAGCACAAGAGCCGCACGTCTTCAAGGGTGCCACAGATAGTTCTAGAATAGGGTCCCTTTAAAGGGTACTACATAGGGTTCAGAGCCGCCCGTCATGATCCCGTTGTACAGAATGACCTGGACCCGGTCTAGTGGTCTCACTTGAAGACGTGCTTACCCCGCATTGGGGTCACAGCCGAGCTAGGCGGGAGGCAATAAAGATAACTTACAGTGCATCATACCGAAGCCCAAATTGAGGAACCGGTTTAAGAGTGAAGCTGGACGTGGCAGTTGGAGAAGCCTGGCAAGTCGACAGCCTCGGAGCCACGTGTAGACTCACCTTATGACTTAAAGAGGCTTACGAGTAGACCTGAGATACATGTAGCAATCCAGTATAATCCAGTGGAGCAAAGCTTCATGCTGCAAGAAGAGCCTTCCTACCTCGAAATGCCTGCAAGAAGAGTATCGGAAGGCTCGAGGCAATCTGGAGACCTGTCTATGGCTGCAGGCAGCAACTCCGTGAATGTGTTCCTCGGAATAGGGATCCCTTGGTCGGTCGGTGCAGTGCCCGTGCCCCAGCTGTGGCTTGACTTCTTGCACACAATTTCTGCCGATGCAACGCTGCCATGAGGGTCTGGGCCGTTCGTGGACGAACCGCCAAGTGGATCGCCACCTACCCAGACATCGCAGCCCAAGACAACATGAGGCCTGCCAGCTGGCGCTGTTAGGCGATTCTCAATGCTGCCTCCAGCCCAACCCCAACCCCAACCCTCAACATCACAGAGTGGAATCTAAACTCGGGCCGTTGGGCCTTCTCTTCCAGATCCCCGCAGCCCTCGCATCCTTTGGCCAGGGATCGAGCTGGCCTTGTCATCAAGGGAGCCGAGGCTCTCATCGCCAGGGCCGTTTCTGCCATGTAGCCGTTGCTCTTATAGTTTTGCAGGGCATGCAAGGAAAGGACAGATAGTCCTTCAAGTCTTGTAACAAGTCTTGTCTTGGGATGTTTTGGGAACAGAGTTGCTAGTTTTTGAGGTATAGAGGCGCACAGGCTTTCTCTTAAATCCGCGACAGTCAAGAAGTCTACGGTTCACGGTACTGGGGTAAACGTAGATACTCACCTTGTGCCGAACCGAACCCCCGACATCGGGACTGCCAGGAGCTCGTGTTTGGCGTAGTGGTCTTCGCTCGGGGGCCTACCTGCAGTTGTTCTGATTCACCGGACGACGTGCATACATATTCCAACCCTGCTTGGGCTTTGTGTCATCGAGTTGTGTGTGTGTGTGTCCTTGTGTTGGTTTTGTGTAGCTTGTACGAACTTGTATGATATTTGAGTCGTTCAATAGCATGTTGATCGTTTTGATCCCATGACGAGTGACGAGACAGAACAAGCCCACCGAATGAAGCACACAGCATCTTCATGGGCATGTCACTGTATGTGTCGGTGCGTACATGCACGTGTGAGTACATGCACGTGTGAGCATGCCTGTGTGTGCGCATGCGATTGCTTTCGTCTTGGTTCCTGGTAGGTTTGCCGGTGCATCTGCACCTGCGCACTGTGAATACTTACCTGATTGCCGTCTTGATCCCTCTCAATTACACGTCTAGGTGCGCTGCACGCGAGTGAAAGCCGCTACTGCAAAGGCTGCGATGGCTGGGCTTGCCATCGTGGTTATGTGGCTCGGCAGCTGCCAAGTGGACACCAAGATAGACTCAGCTGCAGGTTTGGGTGAAGACGTAAGGTATGACTTAGTCAAGTTTATGGGTTGACGGGTCGTTTCAAGGCGTCCTTAAACGCAATGCAATTGGGCACACATCACGAGAAAAGATTAATGACCGAAGAATCTGGAAACTCTGAATCATAGTGGTTCGGAGACGAGGATCTGCAATCAGCTGCGCGCAAGGTACAGACAGAGTAGTCCGAAAGGCCTGAAGCCGCTGATACTCCCTGCGCCATAAGTTCTTAGAGATTCTTGAAGTTGACTCTTGAAGCATAATCTCCATGTCACACCATGCTCGGCGAATCTTCGAACCATAGGACAAAGTTGCCATACTCTTGAAATCTACAGCAGAAGCTAAGACGGCATTCTCCACAGCGTGAGGAGCAAGAGCCACAGAACTTTCAGAACTTCCTTTGCGGACCTCAGCACCTGGGAATCATGCATCCCAGAATACTCGTACCAAGCGACAGGTGCTACTTCCGTAAGCCAAGTATACTAAGTATACTAGTACCTGTCTACATCTCTGATTGGGACCCTCATAGATAGCTCTTGAACTCCTCTCGAGGATGGTCCGGCGAACCTACGTCGGCGGAGAACTTGGTGGCCCGATGTCCAGCAAGGCGCGGAGTCCATCTCATTTGGGCGTCAGATCCTTGGAGTTCAGGGCTCTTGCGCTTATGAGGAATCTGGGAGTTCTCGGGGGTTTTGGGGCTTGCGCGCTCTGTATGATGTTCCTGCTTCTTCGGCAAACTGCACTTCGAAAGGGCTTACGCCCTTCGGGCCCTCGTTTGTGTTGGCCTCACCAGATGCACCTGCGCGGAGGTGCTCGGCGCGTTGACATTGCTGATTCTGTGGCTGTCCTACATTGCCAGGGCCTTGTCTTGGAAGTCCGAGCAAAATCACACGAAGTGAATTGCACGATTACGAACAACTATCCTGAGCGCCACCGCTGTCACCATGATCGGTATCAACATCAGGCTGTTTTTTTCATGTTATGGTCCTGACGACCATATATCTGTTAACTCCAGAAGTTGTTGTTGCGGTGGGAATTGCTTGCTACCGCCCTACTGACATAGGGCCTCGTGGCCTGGTTCTCCATCAGCGGCAAGACGGCCGACGCCGCCGAGCAGGTGGCGATGCACGGTTCAAGAAGCTTTAGGCAATGATCGTGGTTCAAGCTTTCATGGTTTTCTGCCAAGCTTGGCGGGCTTAGTTCGAGTATTTCCAGCAAGGCCACGTGTCTGAAGCAGTGCCCGAGTCAGCACAGCATCGAAGACATCGCTGTAGTTCCACCGCTTGAAATTTCAATGGCTAGCTGCTCCTCATGACCTGAACAGGCAGTCGTCGTCGGCTCGGCCCAATACCCAGATTGCTCTCGAGAACTGTGATTTCGTTAGGGTGTCGAAGGCCAGGCAATTGAGGCACTTTATAAGGAGTCCACAGGTGGAGGACATGTTGAGTGGCACAGATTGAGTTACGTACATAGCTGAGGCGGCGGCACTCTGCGTGCTTTGCGTCATAGCCACATCAGTGTGGACCACCGTGGTGAAAGGGCATGGGGCCCAAGAACCCCAGAGATGATGGAGCGTCGGTCTACGTCGTGATTCAGCACACAGAGCATGTGCTGGGTATGCAGCATCCTCGCCGTCTCCAGCATGTCGTGCATTTCATGTAAGGGGAAGGGATTCGGCAGGAGTTGTTTCGGATGCTGTGCAGAAGGGCTTCTGCTTGCGCATAGGTTGACTTTAAGATCCTACTGTACCGGTCGTGGCGATTCGGAGAAGGCTTTGCTTTCGGTTTGCTTGGCACCAATGCCACTGCAGCAGAATATGCATGCAAGGATCGCCTCGGACGATGAAAATGCTGGAGAAGATTCAGGTCCTGATGCGTGCATTTGGGGGCATGTGGTGGTGGTTGCAGGACATCAGAGATTGGGCCAGAGCTGTTGTGAACCTGGGGGTGCTTGCGAAGTTCCAGTGCCCTCCCGGTACTCTTGCTCACCCCTCAGGACGTATGGTTTCTCAGACCTCAGATTAGAGACAGCCCGCCTTTTATCCGACGGGTGACTGGGCAGAATCGGTCACAGGCTTCATCGAAGAAATTTCGTGCCCACCTTCGCCACGCCCGGACGGTATGGCACTCGGCCGGGCCTCATGCGCAGGCTTCCTGAATCAAGTTTGCCAATGTCCATGTGCTCGGGGGCGCTTGCGGAATGTGATCTCCCTGCTGTTTTGGCAGAACTATGGAACTTGCGATAGCCTACCAGGCATGCAGAAGTCACCAAAACTCGGCTCGGAGAATGTCTCGCTGCCGAAGGTGCCGGAGCCAGTTTGTTTCTTGCTGCCTTATGCTGTGTAGGGTTTCGGTTTTATTTCCCAGCTGATCAGCAGAGTCTGGTTCAAAAAAAGGGGGAGCAGTTTCTAAGAACCGACATTTGCCACTTCCCTGTTCGGGATACATCAGTCGGGTCTGTGTTAATGCCTCAGGCAACCTTGGCGGCTGCAGATGCTGCTGCTGGGGAGCTTGGCATGCTTGCGCTACGGAAATGAAAATCGCATCTAAATGTGTACTTAATCAGCTGAGAAGCACTAGCGGAGCAAGGGTTCTTGCAAAGCATGGGTGCTTGGACCACATCTTGCAGACGAGTCTTCAAACGACAAGTCCAAGTCCGATAGAATCCTCAAACATTCATCGGAAATTGGAGCACCGTACCTCGGCGACTGCTCTCACACGCACTCTCTCTCTCTCCCTCCCTCCCTCNNCTCTCTCTCTCTTCTCTCTCTCTTTTCATCTGTCTCTCACTCTGTGTGTTACCCTGTGTTACCCTGTGTCGACTTGTGTGTGCAGGTGTTCGAAAGCATGCCAAACAAAGTCTTACGTTTACGCACCCTGCAGTGCCGGGGCTCTCTTTTCCTTTGCCTGACAGTGCCGTTGGGCGGCTTAGCCGTATCCTGTGCCGGGGTTTTCTACTCGACTGAGTTGTTAGTCCACGTGCCTGCAGAGACATGGGTTTGCCCACCTGCAGGGAGCTTGTATGGGTAGAGATGCAGATTCCCGGATGGCTATGGTACGGTAGCCTTCTCACCAGCGATGGCCAACTTGAGTAAAGTACGATCGCTGAGTTTTCGCTGCACAGTAAGAACACCCGTCGGCTCGCAACAGGCTCCAGCCTACGTACCCGAAAGAACAGAACAGGATCAAGCTTGAATGCGACGGCTCTCTTCGGATCTCTTTCTAGGCCGGGCCCATGCTCGCGTCCAGCGCGCCCGAGCTGGAGCCACAAGAAGGCGCATGGCNNCTAAGGGTCCAAGTACCTATAATCATATACCCTGCTGAATTCCAACCCTTGGGGTAATTGTCAATATTGTAGTCCAATGTTTCCTGTGCTTATTATATATACCTGCGTACACATGCATATGTAGATACATGCATACCTGACTACATGCCGACCTATACGCACAAACATACAGGCGCGCATGCATACATGCATGCGCAGGAGGATGTACCGCGGGAAGAAATACCATATCACTGCTGTGCTACATTGCTGCATGTCGCCAAGATTGGCACCTGCCTTCACATGTTCCTAATGGTTACAAACCAGTTACTAATGTTGTGTGTACCGTTCTTCAGTTCTTGCGACGAGCTTTGTTTTGATAGTCCCGCTTGTCATTCGTTCTTTGACCCTCCCAGGTCGACAATCATCCTTTTTTGTTATCGCCTTTTGCCGCCACGACCAGTCTCACATGCAACATGGACCCTTGACGGCTTAAGGAACGCTAAATCCTAGACCCCGGAATCCTAACTCACCAACGCAGTTGGAAACGAGCCCCGCCTCCCCCCCCC